TAAACAAAAACAGACAGACCCAAAGCCTGCACACCAGTTTACTAAAGCATTAACAAACAGTTCAGTCCAGAAACTGCGAAAGAAAGTATCTGATGTTCATTTTTACATTCCGTAGAAACACTTTCAAGATGGCGGAAAATGACTATTTCCCTTGTGTGTGTGCATATGATATGAGGGGTGGGGAGAGGAGGAAATACTGCGCTTCCTGTATGCAGAAAGGGCAATCAGCATACCTACCTGCCTCCAAGGAAGGCGTGTTCACTGTTGTTCTACAATCAGTAGGCATGACTGCATGGAAACTTGTTCAAGTGAGACTTCAGACCCACGCCTCCCACCACAAAGGGCTGAAACTGGATACCCCTGGCTACCAGGGATCCAAAACAACAGAGGAACAGTTTATACCCTCCGTGTCTATGACCAGCTGGGATTGGAGTGCACAGTAGAAATTTATTTGGGATTTTAAAATTAGAGGAGTGTAGAAATGTTTAAAGTCTCTTAAAATCCAGAATGGTATTGCCCTTAGACCAGGTAAGTGGGGCTCCGGTGTTAAGCCCCAAGCCTCAGCCTCATTCATTCCCCTCACCTTCTCTCCCTCCTCCCCTCCACCTCCTTTCCTCCCTTACTATCCCGTTAGAAGCTTTGAAGTGCCTTCCTTGAAATTTTCTAAGTCTCCTTCTAGTGTTTGGAACTGGTACCTGATTTCAGCTCTATTGGGCTAAGGGTGTCTCTAATGCTGTAGTCCAAAGAAAACTTAGAAGTGATTCAAATCAAATGTTCTCATTATACAGATGGAGAAACAGACCCAGGGGGCAGCAGTTAAGTGCCTTTACTAAGGTCCCTTGTTATTAGGAAGTGGAAGAAGGATTAAAACCCAGGACCCCAGTTTATCAATCTCATGTGCTTTTTCCTTTACTCTGCTAATTTCTACAGAAATCTGTTTTGCCCCCCTTCCAACTACAAGCAGGTTCATGGCAGGGCCTGCATCTCACTTCTCAAGCTCCCCAAACTGCCCTAATATTCATTTAATGAACATCACTGCCTGAAACATTAATTAACATAACAAGGCAAGGTTACTTCATCACAAAAGAAAAGGCTAGTCCAAGAAAAAGAAAAAGAAACATGTTCTAAGAGTTGAATTAAGTAAAACCATAAGCATTGCCCTGGAACCCTTGGGTTCTTTCAAGAATGTTACAATGCACTTTTTTTAAGCCAAGGAGCCAAGTTCAAGTACTTCCACCATCCATGACCATTTTATTAAGAGGAGGCTCCCAGAGTAGAAAATGTTCCAGACTGTCAATGACTCCGAGTAAAGCCACCATGGCCACACTTACCGTAGTTGCTCGGGATTAGTCCAGTCCTGCCTTTGGAGGTGCCTTTCCACCAATTGGTATCACTCTGGTGAAAGAAGAGTTAAATTAAGTGGCACCAAATCCAGTTTGCACTCAATCACTTTAAAAACCACGCAGCTCATGGAGTGTACCTGCTCTACAAAATGCCCACCCGCCCTGGTCACACTGACCAAGCTTCCTCAGTCCCGTTACCCATGTCCATTCCCCTTATTGTTACATTACAAATACATACACATCTGCCTGCAACCAATCGGAGAGACTTCATCACAGAGCCTCAAACAAATCAAATGCAGATAATACGAAAGAGAAGGAAAACATGTGTAGTTTAAACTATTTATAGGATTTTTTTTTTATCCAGAGTCTAATTTCTCTTAGCCTCAATATGGCTTTCTAAAGATCTCTTCATTTTACCTTTGTTTTTTGGGTAACTGCTTATCATAGAAAAATTCAAACCTATACCAAAGTAGAAAGAATAGTATAATGAACCTACACATACCCATTTCCCAACTGCATGAATTATTTACTCACGGCCAATACTGTTTCACATATATCCTCACCCACAACTTCGTTCCCTTAATCCCCTAAAGATTACTTTGAAGTAAATTCTAGACATCATATTATCTCAACTGCAAATACTTCAGTATGGGTCCCTGAAAGATAAGGACTTTTTCAAAGACATAATAATAATACCATTATCATGACTTAGATTTTTTTTTCAATAGTAAATCCTTAATATCATCAAATATCTACAATCCTCGAATTTTCCAGTATGCCTCATAAGGGCCATACAACATGATGACTGATTTGCCTCTTAAGTCTCTTTTAGTCTATGGGTTCCTCCATTTTTTTTTTCATTCCTTCACAATACACTTGTCAAAGAAACTAGTTGGTTCTAAAGAGTTTCGAACAGTCTAGTTTTGTCTGTTTATCACTTGTTATCAAAAATGTGTTCCTCCATTCCCTGTATTGCCTATAAATTGGTTATTAGTCCTAGAGGCTTAATTAGACTTAGATTCCATTTGATGGACAAGACTATTTCATGGTAGCATTGATTCTTCCGTCAGGAGACAAAAAATGGTGGTCTCTTGTTAAAGTAAGTAACCACTGATGAGCATTATCTGGGTACATTATTCCACAGGGATTACAAAATGGGGACATTGTAATTCTATCTTTTGTTCTTTATTTAAATAACTAGAATATTACTTTAAAGAAAAACGTGCCCTCATCAACTCTCAGGTTACCCAGAGATAAAGTGCACAGAGAAAAGGCAGAATAAATGCTGATTCTTTTCCTTAAAAGTCAACAGAATAAAAAGTTAGTTCCCTAAGCATTATTTCAGGTTGAGCCATGATGTTTGTTTTGTTTGGTTTTGTTTTTAAGCATCATTAGGGACTCACGAATTTATATGGTTCAATCCTTGGGATTCTTGCCCTAATTGATGGCTCAAATTGTCCTATCTTTGACTGGCAACCTCTTCAGCTTAGTTTCTGTGTCTTTCCAGCATGACCCTAGTTCTCTTTGGTAGTTTCCTTGCTTTCCAGTAACAAGATGTTCTGGGATTATTTTGTACCTTTGCTGCCCTCAATCTGGTACCAGACATTTCTCAATGGCATCTTATTCTTTTAATAGGAAATAACAGGAAATATTTTTGCTAATTTTATTTTACATAAAATGAACTGTGCTTCCAATTCAAATGCAGAGCTACTTAACCTCATCACTCTTACATCCTTCTGTATCCTTTCTTGCAAGATGAAAATCACTGACCTAGTGACTCATTTGCTCTAAACCACAACACACATGCAGCAATCTCAGAATAACAATACCAACACTTCTCCAACAAGATCTTGATTAAAAACAGTTTATAATTTGTGGGTGGCAGTTCTTTTTATTCTTCATATTATTCTACTAAAGATGTTCAATCAAACTGCTGGATTTTAAAGTCACTTGGAATAGTTCTCCTCTCTGTGTGGTTATGCCAAATACATGGGGTACAATTAAGTTCACTTGACTCATTCTGCTTTTAACTTTCAGAGATTTCTTTTTACCATTTAATTTAATTTTATAACTATGCAAAAGTTCACACGATTCCAAAGTCAGCTCTTCAAAACAAGGTACAATTTTTAAAAAGTCTATATTTCACTTATGTTACCTCTCCCCTATTTCCCTTCCATCACACAGAAGAAAGTATTTATTTGATTTTATTGTATGACCCTTCTTTTGACTTTTTATTTTAAATTGAGGAAGACAAGTATGTGTATGTCCTCTTACCCTTTCTTAGATAAGAAAGGGCACACTATCCAAGTTTTTTCATTTTGCTCTTTTCCACTTAAATCACTCCATAATGACATATAGAGATATTCCTCATTCCTTTTTACAGCTGCATAATACTCCATCCAACTATTTTCCTACTGATGGACATAAGGGCTACTTCTAATCTTACAAATTGTGCTAAGATTAACAGACTTGGGCATATGTACTGATACACAGATATACATGTAAATAATGTACAATATTATGGCTATACAAAATAGTCTCATATACCTTTAGTTCACACATGGTATTACAAAATATTAGATGGGCTTACCATGTCAGTAATGTAGATAATATCACCTTCTTCAAAGTACAATTCATCTGGCTAAAAGAAAAAAAGAAATTTAAGTTTGACTCCATTTGATTTTCATGAATGAGATTACAATAATGATGATGAAGATAATTATACAAATTCCTAATTTTAAAATATCCTTATAGACATTGTGGTTTTTATAGACCTAAATCTCCCCATAAACCATATAACAAAACATTACTGACAAACTAACAGAAGCACAGAAAGCTGAATTTTTCCCATGATGAACTTCAAAGAATGACAATGAATGGCCAGTAAGAAACCCTCCCCCACATAATCTTATTTTTTTCCACAATGAAATTGAGACATTTTTATATCAAAATAGAATATGAAGAAAACTTCCTTTCTTGTAGGGAATTTCAAAAGGTGATATATATTTTTTCACAAAGGGATAAATATCAGGAATTAAAATCATGAAAAATAGCTAGAAGCTTGGCTCTCTCCTAAATGATTAGGCTTTAATCCTTAAACACTTTCATATCATCATCTGCTATCTGCTTATTTTGAGAAAACCTTATCCTATCTCTTCATATTCAGAGAGAATGAATATTTCATGTATGAGAATAGTTAATACATTATTTAACCATTAATAAGGCCAAAGAGCTGAAAGACATGAAGCATTAACTCAGTCCAGACCATAAGTAGCTCTGAGGGGTTAACTGATTATACAGACAATATGTGCTCTGGCTTGGATCAGCCAAATGTCCTACAAACCCTCTGAATAGAGCCAGGCTCTCAAATTAAACATCTTCTTTTTCCCATCAGTTGATAACACTTATCAGCATGACTTTATAAGTAAACAAGATGATGCCTGTTGAGAGCAAGTTTCAGATATTGGGAAATGCCTACATTGTCATGTTGACTGAAAAATGTAGGCCACAAAATTTCACATAGGATAAGATAACAATTATGCATGAAATATGCATAGAACATTTTCCAAATTTTCCATCACAAGCATGTATTACTTTCATAATTTTGGTAGGAAAAGTACTTTCTTTAAAAAAGGCTTGGATATTTGACTATAGTTACTGTTCTATACAAATAAAAATTATGCTAGTGAAATAAATTATTTCATTCATTCATTTTTCTTTTATCTCCTTTCTCAGTTGCAGACTAAGGCAGTAAATGTAACTCTGCACTAGTAATTTATTTAGTTTTAAAAATGATATACATTATTATTATAACTATTTCTCCCTGAATATAAATGAAGACTGTATCAGCTATAGCATGCTTTAAGCAACTACAATTCATAAATATTTAGATGCACTATGCATTCAAATATAAAAATTTGCAAATGATGATTCATGAAACCAAAAAATGTCTTGAGTTCCTTTAATAAGCACTTCCTGAAGCATCTGTTGCATTTACACTTTGATTTTCAGAGACTTACACATAGCACATTTATGCAAAGTTAGTTGAACCTAAGTAGATTCAAAGACACACATTTTAAAATTATTGGAAACAGGCATTCAGAAGGAAAAAAGTAAAGCCTTCTAAGATTTTTCTCTCATCTTTCTCTAAAATGTTCTGATAATCCATGATCAATATTACTACCAATACGTGATGGATACAGAAAGTGATTAAAGAAACAAACTATTTCCTTTAGTATTTCCTTGCTACAAACTGGGTCATTTCTCAGAAGGG